GGCTTCATCAGTGCCTCGTCATCATATTATAGGATCGACTCCTCATCGTCGTCGTCCTCATATCACGACCGACCCCCTCGGCCTCGGTGTGATTATCTATCTCAAGACCGGCTTCCTCAGCGCCGCGAGTCTTGAGCTAGCGATCGGGCTCGCCATCCCTTCCCGGATGGTGACCATCGCCTTTATATGACGATCGGCTTCATCAGCGCCTCGTCATCATATTATAGGATCGACTCCTCATCGTCGTCGTCCTCATATCACGACCGACCCCCTCGGCCTCGGTGTGATTATCTACCTCAAGACCGGCTTCCTCAGCGCCGCGAGTCTTGAGCTAGCGATCGGGCTCGCCATCCCTTCCCGGATGGTGACCATCGCCTTTATATGACGATCGGCTTCATCAGCGCCTCGTCATCATATTATAGGATCGACTCCTCATCGTCGTCGTCCTCATATCACGACCGACCCCCTCGGCCTCGGTGTGATTATCTACCTCAAGACCGGCTTCCTCAGCGCCGCGAGTCTTGAGCTAGCGATCGGGCTCGCCATCCCTTCCCGGATGGTGACCATCGCCTTTATATGACGGCCGGCTCATCATTGCCCCGTCATCATATTTCGGATTGGCTCTTTTCATCGCCATCCGCGTATCACGACCGGTCCCTCGGCCTCGGCGTGACTATCTATCTCAAGACCGGCTTCCTCAGCGCCGAGAGTCTTGAGCTAGCGATCGGGCTCGCCATCCCTTCCTGGATGGTGACCATCGCCCTTATATGACGATTGGCTTCATTCTTGCCTCATCATCATATTATCGGATCGGCTCATCATCTCCGTCCGCACATCACGATCGGCCCCTCGGCCTCGGCGTGATTATCTATCCCCAAGACCGGTCTCAGTCATTCCTTCATCGGATGGCGACCGCTGCTTGGACTTTTGGATCAGCCTCATAGTGCTGACGACCTCGCATCACGATCGGCCCCTCGGCCACGACGTCACACCCTATCCCAACACCGGCTTCATTAGCGCCGAGTGTGTTGGGCTAGCGATCAGGCTCGCCATCCCCTCCTGGATGGTGACTATCGCCTCTATATGACGATCGGCTCCATCTTCGCCTCGTCATCATATTTCGGACTGGCTCCTCATCATTGTCATCCGCACATCGCGATCAGCCTCTCGGCCGCGACATGATTATTTATCTCAAGACCGGCTCCCAGTGCCGAAGTCTTGTTATAGCGATTGGGCTCGCCATCCCCTCCTGGATGGTGACTATCGCCCCTATATGACGCATGGCTTATCATCGCCTCGTCCCCATATTCGGACCGGTTCGTCAGCGCTGTCGTCCTCATATTCGGACCGACTCATCAGCGTCGTCGTCCTCATATTCAGACAGGCGTCCACCGCCTCGTCCCCCTATTCAGATACAGCGAGCATCTTGCGGTCTCCGGCCGAAAGGCTAAAGGAGCCCAGAGTTCAGCCATATATCGCTCCGTCATCTTTATTTGATGACGCGAAGCTCATTTGCAGGCCCATCGGCCATATATCGCTCTGTCATCTTTATTTAATGATGAAGAGCTCATTTGTAGGCCCATCGGCCATATATCGCTCTGTCATCTTTATTTGATGATGAAGAGCTCATTTGTAGACCCGTCGGCCATATATCGCTCCGTCATCTTTATTTGATGACACGAAGCTCATTTGCAGGCCCATCGGCCATATATCGCTCTGTCATCTTTATTTGATGATGAAGAGCTCATTTGTAGGCCCATCGGCCATATATCGCTCTGTCATCTTTATTTGATGATGAAGAGCTCATTTGTAGGCCCATCGGCCATATATCGCTCTGTCATCTTTATTTAATGACGAAGAGCTCGTCTACAGGACCATCGGCCATATATCGCTCTGTCATCTTTATTTGATGATGAAGAGCTCATTTGTAGGCCCATCGGCCATATATCGCTCTGTCATCTTTATTTAATGACGAAGAGCTCGTCTACAGGACCATCGGCCATATATCGTTCTGTCATCTTTATTTGATGATGAGGAACTCATTTGTAGGCCTCTGAGCCACATCTTGCTCCGTCATCTTTATTTGATGACGCGAAGCTCAGTTGCAGGCCCATCGGGCATATATCGCCTCGTCATCTTTATTTGATGACGCGAAGCTCATTTACAGGCCCATCGGCCATATCTCGCTCCGTCATCTTTATTTGATGACATGGCGCTCGCATATAGGCCTCTGAGCCATACATCACCCCGTCATCTTTATTTGACGACGTGGAGCTCTTATGCAGGCCCCTCGGCCGTACCATCGCCCCGTCGTCTTTATTTGACGACGTGGAGCTCTTATGCAGGCCCCTCGGCCGTACCATCGCCCCGTCGTCTTTATTTGACGACGTGGAGCTCTTATGCAGGCCCCTCGGCCGTACCATCGTCCCGTCGTCTTTATTTGACGACATGGAGCTCTTATGCAGGCCCCTCGGCCACACCATCGCCCCGTCGTCTTTATTTGACGACGTGGAGCTCTTATGCAGGCCCCTCGGCCACACCATCGCCCCGTCGTCTTTATTTGATGACGTGGAGCTCTTATGCAGGCCCCTCGGCCGCACACATCGCCCAATCGTCTTTATTTGACGACATGGAGCTCTCGTATAGGCCTCTCGGCCCATCGGCCTTACGTTCTGGTCATCTTTATTTGATGAACCAGACATCATATTGTGGACGGTCGCTCGACCCATCCCTTAGTCATCTTTATTTGATGACTAGGACTACTGATCATGATGAGCTACCCACATCTGGAGATCGGCCTCGACCATCCAGCAGACGGGCACCGCTGCAGCTCCATCTCCAGGCCGAAGGGCTCGCACCTTTTGTTTCATTTTGGGGGCATCCGGTGTACTCTTTTTCCCTCATTAGGATTTTTTCCCACAGGGTTTTTCCTAATGAGGTTTTTAACGAGGCATCTCCCCATCGTGGATCAAAAGGTGTCAACCCTCGGCCCCCTGTTGAAGACATCATCCGACACGCATTACTCTACTCCTCTTCACCTCATTGCACTCGCCTCAAGGAGTGGGGGACTGGAAGAGCGGGGGACTTAGCACCTCCGTTAACCAAAGAAGCAGAAATTCAAATTTTTGTTAATGAAGTTTACTCACCAGACGGCGACAGATCAGCACACAGGTCTACTCTCTTTCGCCTTGAATACTCTCGACTCAGAGAGTGGGGGACTCCTGATAGAGTATATAGACTCGGACCCCCGGGTCTCACGACTATTGGGCCCGGACAGCGGCCCACACACATCTTACGGATATCATTTGTATTATTGTACTGCTTATATGTCATTTGTATACTAGATTAGTCTTTTATGTAGTTGGGCTACCGGGCCCATATTAGCGGCCCGGCCCGTTATTCCTCTATTTATACTCCTTTTGGAGCTTGTAAACCCTAAGTCTCAATATCATTCTATTATTCATCTTCTCCACAATACTTGAGCTCAAATCTCTACATTTTATACATACTTGGATCCCTACAATCCATCAGGGGGACTGCAGGACCCCTTCGGGAAAAATCTCAAAATACAAAAAATATCAAAAAAAACTCCCACAGCGACAAACATGATCCCTCAAGTCCCGGAATGTGGGTAACTGAGGGACTGCCCTCGGCCAAAACATGCACACAACGAACTACTCACAAACTTTAAAAACTACAACGGAACAACGGCAGAGGACAAACACAATTACTCCTTTTCCCTCAAGTACCTTTCGGCAAAAGGAGTGAGGGACTCATGATGGAGTATATGGCCCAGGGACCCCCGGCCCATAGACTCCTTCCGCTCTAATCAAAGCCCGATAGGCCCAGGAAGCACAACAGGCCCAAATCACAGCGCCCCAAGTACCAAGCAGCCTACAAAGCACACTGGGGGTGCCTTCGGCCCCTTGACCGAAGGCTCTAGATACTCACAAAAAGGCTATTTTCAGCATACGAGGACACTGGGAGAAGACAACAAAAGCAGCAGCCCTCGGCTTAGTGGAAGTTGTGTATATATATAGTATATAGTATATATATACTATATATATATACGAGGCTCTATATACTCTACAAAGTATATATATATATATATATATATATATATATATATATATATATATATATATATATATATATATATATATATATATATATATATATATATATATATATATATATATATATATATATATATATATATATATATATATATATAGTATATATATATATATACTATATACTATATACTATATATATATATATATATATATATATATATATATATATATATATATATATATATACACACACTAGTATATAATTATTTCATGTTTAATACGCACGTAAGGGAAGTTGCCTGATTAGTGGAAGTTGTCTTTTACTCGGAGTAAAAAACACAACCCTTGGGAAGCATAATTTCTACGAGGTACTTGATTGGTGCTAATAATGTGATTATACAAGTGGGAGGCACACCTCTAATATTCCAAATAATGATAAACGAATATGTGGTGAGAATGTATACATAAATTACCAAATAATAAATTTGGTCATCCTTATAATCAGTAGTTCTTATAACGTGCTATACTAATTTAATTCCTACGAGGCTCTTATTTCTCTCCATGTTATGATGACTTTGTAGAAAAGACAAAGCTGCTATTTCTTTTCCTCTTGACCAATTAGATCTGAGAGACCAAACATGACATATAATCAGGCCATCTTATAAATTTTGGTCCAAGTTGACTTGCACGTAAAATAATAAAATAATAAAATAAAATTTGTGTGATTAAGATTTGTACATGTAGTGGAAAGAGAAATAAAATTAGATGAAAATGGCAGCTTTTTTAATTAAACAAACAAAAAAAGAAATTTGGTCAAATTTTATGGAACAAATAATTGGTCCAAATACATGCATCTCATGATGGCAAACTAGTGATTCGGAGTATTAATTAATCATCCTCAATATATAATAGTGGATCATACTATCTATACTTGATCGATCATCCTCAAGTATCAGCAGAGAATATGGCCGCTTGGTGGTCATGGATAGCCATAATCTTCACAGCAACTTTATACACGTCCTTTACAAGAGTGGAGTCCTCCAATGGCGATCAGATCAGCAGCTTGCCGGGGCAACCAGCTAACGTCACTTTCCGGCAATACTCCGGCTACGTTAAAGTTAACCAGCAAAGGGCTCTTTTCTACTACTTTGTGGAAGCCGAAACTCAGCCAGATTATAAGCCACTTGTTCTCTGGTTAAATGGTGGTAAGGACTTCAAGAAATCTCAGACACACAACGTAGCATGCATACATAATAATCCTTTCGTCTCTATATAAAATCTAGCTTTGAATTTCTCGCATATTAAGTGAATAAATATTTGAGAAATTATCCAAAATAAGACTAAAAACGTTTGTATATTCCTAAATAGGACTATCATGTTTTTATTCTCAAAATAGGACTAATTACTGTCATGTTTTGGCAGTACCAGACTTTAAACATGACAGTGTTTTCTAAACTTGGCAGTAAATAGTCCTATTTAGTCCTATTTTGGGAATAAAAACATGACAGTCCTATTTTGGAATTTTCAAACTTTTTTACTCCTATTTCGGGATCATTTTCATTTTCATTTTCATTTACCCCAGTGCCACAAAGGCTGCCACCTACGGTGGGGTAAGGGGGGTCGGATGTACGCAGTCTTACCCCTGTATTAAAGCACAGAGAGACTGTTTCCGGATGACCCATGGTGAAAATCTCATTCGAAATTGCATGGACCGACTCCTATTTTGGGATATTTCCCTAAATTTTTTCTTATCACTTCATGAAATGCTTCTTTTATTGAGAATTAAGTTATACTCCGTACTATATAATACACTGTTTTCACCGTTTTGCACTATGTTGTCATTATTATTATTTAAAGATAGTAAAGTAAATGAATATAAATTTGTTTACCATATAGGGAAACAAAACTTCATATTCAGGGACATCCATTAAAGGAAGTGAAAATTTTATTTAGGAATAGGGAGTAGGAAAAATATGTTTGTGTACCTACGCATACGGGCAATTTCGTTAGAAAAAATGTATTTTTTCGAAAAACATACGGAATTATTTGTGTGGCGCGAAAAATAGACATGTACACGACTTGACGTGTAGTACACAAAGAATGGGTCTATGTAATAAAAGGCCAAAATGAGTGAAAGAAAAAGTTTTTATTAGGATTAAATAAACATGTTTGAGATTCTATCTTAAAGAGTTGACATATAATAATTAAGAAGAGGTGTATCTCAAGACTTTATATATTTATTTATAATACTACGTATGATTTTTGCTCGATCTGTGAGGGATTAACAATAAGAATGTTTTTACTTGATTTTTTCATTCTCAGACCAGATCAGCCCAAACTTAAATAGATCAAACCATACCAGACTTAAATATATAAGACCAGACCAGACTTAAACAGACTAAAGTCACCAGACCAGACCAAACCAAACTTCCATAATTATAAAATATACAAAGATGAAATTAAATATTTACCAGACAAGACCAGACCAGACCAATGTAGACTATATCAGATCAGATGAGACTAGACCACCAAATTTTAGTCCAATTAATAAAACATCCTAACATACCCGCTAAAATAGTGAATTATTGGGGTCAGGGGCTTAGCTATGAGGGCCAACCTAGGCCTCAGTCCACCCAAATTTTTAATTCTTTTTAAATTATTAGGGTAACAAAATTCATGTAAAAAATTAAAAATTCTTTGTATTATATTAGCTCCTGCAATATAAAAAATGTGTGAAACTCCTTGCCTTATGATTAATCAAATTCAAAAAACCCTACAAGAACAAATTCAGTAATTATTGTGAAATCACACATCTTAACACGAAGTATTATGATTGAATATATATGCAAGTCAATTTTAAAGATCTCTGAATTTATATGCAAATTTATACATTCTTGGAGGAATTTTTGCATATGATTAATTATAACACAAAATAATTTGATGCACTTTTTAAAAAAACTTGGGGTTAATGTGCAAAATTTATAGACAGAGTATGACGAGGGATTTTAGTGCATTAAACCCCTTCATTTGGTACTAATTGATACCACTGATGATGAATAATAACCAGGTCCTGGGTGCTCATCTGTTGGAGTTGGAGCTTTCGGGGAGCATGGCCCTTTCCGACCTCGAGGAAGTGTCTTGATAAAAAATCCCCACAACTGGAACAAAGGTTCTTTTCACTATCTTATACTACCTTTGTTCCACTAACAGCATTGCATGAAGAGGTGGTTTAATTATTAAGAAAAATGAGTTTATGTGATTGATGTTGAATTGATAAATTAAGAATGATTTTTAGAATCACACCAATTTTATCAAATTTGATATGAGACAATTTTAGTAGAACGGACTGAAAATGAAAGATAAGACAATCCGTACAACTGGAGTATCAGTTTTTCGTTTTGTTTTTCCTGTTAGAATATATTATGTCAAACATTAGTTAAAATTGTAAAATCTTGAATTTTTTGGAAAACTTACTTGGGTACGTATTTGCTGTATTTGTGCAGAGGCAAACATGTTGTATTTGGAATCCCCTGCAGGAGTTGGGTTCTCATATTCTATCAATCAATCCTACTATGCTTACGTGAATGATGAGATGACAAGTTTTAATTTGCACCCTTTTCCAATTTAATTTGTTCTTACCGTACGTATGTAATTACATACTCCATATTAAATGATCAATCATGTTTGATGTACACACCCTTGTACACACCTTTTACACATCATGTTTGTGAAGTTTTTTTGTCTGTGAACCCGGTTCACAGACAATATTTTGTTTGTGCAAAACATTGTCTATGAATCGATGTTCACAGACAAAAAAAAAGAGCTTTCACAGACATAGGTGTGTACAAAAGTGTGTATAAGAGTGTGTACAAACATCATTTTTGTTAAACGATAGGGGTTTGCATCCATAAATTGGGTGCATTAGCCCATTGAGTTTGACTATCGACACCGTCAATAATCTAACTTTTTACTCCATAGTTTATAATAATTTCATACATAATGTTTTTTTATTCGATCAATTGGACTTGTGCTAAGTTTCAGAATAAGGAAGGTTATATTATTGATTCTAATTTACTTTGTATATGTTATCAGGCTAGGGAATAGTTATTGTTTAGAAATAATTCTGAATATATGACCAAAATAATAGTATGGACAAAAATGTGACTCGGGTAAATTCAGTGACTATAGTGCATTCAAATGTTGCATCACGGAGTAATATTTTAGAAAAAAATCTCTTATTTATCATGTGTCAAATATACCCATAGTTTAAGAAACCTACCTGGCTAGAATTGTGACAGAGGGAATTTGTACTACATTCCTCCCATATATGTTGAATTTGCTTTTTTAGTTTGGTACAATTATTAATAAATTGGTTGAAAATTAAAGCAAAAGTGTGGTTAAAGTTTGATTACAATGAGGTAAAATGATATGAATTGTTCAGAAAAAAGAAACACGATATTCATTTTGGGGCAACCTGAAAAAGAAAGTAATACAAATAAAATTGGACAGGGATTAGATCTTATAATCTCATACAGTTTTTACTTTATTAATCCACGTGAAAGTCAACTTTGCTCAACCTTTTCGGGACGGAGGGAGTATGTTTTATGACAATAAACGATAATATTCCTATATTTGAAACAAAAACATTGAAACATGTTTTTTTATGAAAATGGAACAGTTTATATACTATATAAATAACATTTTTAACACTTCAGAGCTTTTAATATTAATTATGCTATCAAGTTTTTTTATATGTCCAATTTTACTTCATGAAGTATAATCCTTCATCTCATGTTGACAGCAAGAGACAATCTAATATTTCTGAAAAGATGGTTCCACAAGTTCCAAAATTACCGGGGACGAGAATTTTTCATTACTGGAGAGAGTTACGCAGGTAAGCTGGTGAAACCAACCTAGCTACTACAAATTTTTTAGGCAGAAAGCACATTTAAGATGCATTTAGATAACATGAAATTAAATAAACTCGATCAGTCTAATTTGCGGCGGACACAAAAGGGGCTAATGAGGGTCCGCCCACCCTCCTCAATTTTTTTTTCTACTAGGTATATTTACTCCAAAACTTAAATATATATGTATTAATATGTATTTTTTTACACTAGCGCCCCTCCTACTAAGAATTCATGTGTCCATTGTTGAGTCCAATTGCATTTATAGAATTTGATGAAATTAAAGTTGGGTAAATATTCAAAGTGAATATAGGTCTCCATATAACTTTGTCATATATAATTTATAACTAGATTAACTCAAATGAATGCAGTAAACATTTGTCTAAATGAAGGTAAATATAAGTGAATATGGTATGCATAGTATTTAATTATAAAGTAAATGAAGAATTCAATTCCAAAAGCTTCCTCAAAACCTATGAATGGAAAAGAAGCTTCATCACACCTAGGAGTTACATCCTGCACACTCATCATTGAAATTTGGAAAAATTTGACTTTGCACCCTATTTTGGGTGAGATTTGATTTTGCACTCTATGTTTAAAATCATTAATGTATGCATCTCAATTTACTATGAAATAATTTGACTTTGCTCCTCACTTCTTCAAACTTTTTGAGAAGTACATTAATGATTTTGAAAATGGATTGCAAAGTTCATTGTCGCCCATAACGTGGGTGCAAAGTGAAATTCTCCCTTGAAACATTTTTCAAGTTTCATCACACTTTTCTCCTAGTCTCCTCCCACCTAAATTTGGTCCTATAAATACAAAAGCATCTCAAGCTTTTCTAGCATAGTAATCCATCTAGCAAATGTTAGAGCAGGTAGAAGAATAACAGAAAAACGGATAAGCTGATAATTGGGGAAATAGGCTCACTACAATTTGTACAGCCCGATGTCTTTATTTATAATGTGCAAAATACACTTATTGAATTAATCTTTGGTATTTACATCTTAACATCCCCCCTTAATACCAAGATTAACAAACAGACCAAGAAAATATAATGCTAAGATTACAAACTGACAACATTTAGCATCTCCTTAAATTTCTGAAAATTCTCAGTCTTCAATGCCTTAGTGAACACATCTGCTATCTGCTCCTCTGTGTTGCAATGAATCAGTTGGATTCTCCCCTTATTAACCTGATCCCTGAGAAAGTGAAATCTTGTTTCAATGTGCTTGCTTCTGCCATGAGCAACTGGATTCTTGGCCAAATTTATAGCAGATTTGTTGTCCACTAAAAGTTGTAATCCACAGCTATTCATCTGATTCATTTCCTATAGCAAGGATAGGAGCCATAACCCTTGACATGTAGTGTGACATGCTGCAATATACTCAGCTTCACAAGTAGACAAAGCTACTACATCCTGCTTAGTAGAACACCATGATATAGGTATATTTCTCAAAAAAAATACATACCCCATGGTACTTCTCCTATCAACTTTATCACCACACCAATCTGAATCAGAATATGCAGTCAGTTGCAGCTCTTGATCTTCAGTGGAATGAGTCTGATCATTTGGAAATAATACACCACATTTGGATGTACCTTTCAAATACCTTAGTATTCTCTTGGCTGCAATTAGGTGTGAAGTTCTGGGATCTTGCATAAACCTACTAACCATTCCAACTCCAAACAGAATCTCAGGTCTGCTATGGCACATGAACCTCAAACAGCCTGTTATCTGTCTATATAGAGTAGCATCAACCTTAGATTCATTGCTACATCTATCCAGTTTGCACTTCACTTCTACTGGAGTATCTACTGGATTACAATTCTGCAGACTAAATCTTTCTAGGACTTCAGAAAGATACTTCTTTTGGTTCATTAATATTCCTTGGTTTGTGTGAGAAAACTCAATACCAAGAAAAAAAGATAACTCACCCAAATCAGTCATCTCAAACTAAGCCTTCAATTTCTTCTTTAATTCATTGACTTCACTCATATGGCTTCCTGTTATGAGTAAATCATCTACATATAGGCAAATATACAAAATGGAACCTGAGGTTTTAACCAGTATGTAAACACCATGCTCCACAGTGCATTTCTTGAAGCCAAGACTTCCCAGAAACTGGTCAATCCTCCTATTCCATGCCCTGGGTGCTTGTTTCAACCCATATAGGGCCTTCTTGAGTCTGAGCACTTGATGTTCTTTGCCTTTCACTTCAAAGCCTGGTGGTTGTTTGATAAACACCAGTTCTTCAAGTGACCCATTCAAAAATGCAGATTTTACATCTAAATGCCACAAAGTCCAGCCTCTTACACTAGCTATAGCCACAATGACCCTTATGGTCTCAAACCTTGCAACTGGAGCAAAAATCTCTGAATAATCAATTCCAGGTTTCTGCATAAAGCCCTTGGCAACCAAGCGTGCTTTGTATTTGGCTATGGATCCGTCAGCATGAGTCTTAACTTTATATATCCATTTGACTGCAATAGGGGTTTTTCCTGCAGGTAAGTCTATGAGTTCCCAAACCTGATTTTTCTTGATAGACCTGAGTTCTTCCTGCATGGCATTCACCCATACTTCTTGATGAATTGCTTCTTCAAAAGAAATTGGATCCATATCCGCTAACAAAGCCAGATATATAGGATCACCATCCTCATTAATCTCAGAATCACTGAGAATCTGAAAATCCCTCAGTCTGTGTGGCAAGGTTCTATTTCTTGATGGTCTGATGTTTACTTCCTCACTTTGACCTATTCCACTGTTGCTACTTCCTCCATCATAGGTTGTGGATGTAGGTCCAGTCAAATCATGGTTCAATCTGACTTGAGATGATTCTGACAATTCTGATTCAGTACTCCAGTTGTTTAACTCATCAAAAATGACATCTCTGCTAAGCTCCACTTTCATCTTTTTTGGATTGAACAACCAGTAGGATCCAGTAGCATTATATCCAACAAAAATCATAGGTTCACCTTTGTCATCCAGCTTCCTTCTGATTTGGTCTGGAATATGTTTATAGCATAAACACCCAAATATTCTGAAGTGGGTGACTGAGGGTTTTGCTCCAGACCAAACCTCTTCTGGTACCTGATTGGTTAGCCTCTTTGTGGGGGACCTGTTTAGTATATATACAGCAGTGGACACAGCTTCTCCCCAGAGGTATTGTGGTAGTTTTTTACTTTTAAGCATGCACCTGACCATATTGAGAACTGTCCTATTTCTCCTCTCAGCTATGCCATTGTGCTGTGGAGTGTAGGGAGCAGTAATCTCATGTAGAATACCATTGTCCCTGCAGTAACTTTCCAGTTCATTGGAACAGAATTCCCCTCCACCATCAGTTCTCAATATCTTAATGACACATCCAGATTGTTTTTCAGCCATGCACTTAAAAACTCTGAAGGTGTCATATACTTCACTTTTGACTTTCAGCAGATACACCCACATCTTCCTACTGAACTCATCAATGAAGGAGACAAAGTATTTATTACCTCCCAATGAAGCAGTTTCAAATGGCCCACACACGTCAGAAAATACTACTTGCAGCAAGCCAGTTGCTCTAGGAGGTATGAAGTCAGTAAAAACACCTCTAGCCTGCTTGCTAATCATACAATTATCACAGATTTTATCAGGCTTGCTTATTGAAGGTAGTCCAGAAACCATACCTTGAGTACACAGCTTATTTAAGTCCCTGAAATTCAGATGTCCAAATCTAAGGTGCCACAACCAAGAATGATCCAATACATCAGATTCAGCCACACAACATTGGTTATCTACTGCAGAGATTTGAACTTGAAAAGTCCTATTATTGGAAATGGGAACTTTAAACATCAGTTTCCCACTTGGGCCAAATACGTGTAGCACACTTTGTTGCATGTGGATTACAAAATTCTTTTCCAACAATTGACCAAGACTCAGTAGATTACTCCTCATTCCTGGAACATATAGAACATCTGTGATAATTGCTTCTGATCCATTTTTCTTCTTGATGATGATATCTCCTGAACCTTGTGCCAAGATCAGTCTATCATCAGCAAACTTCACTTTGCTCTTCTTAGTTTCATCAAAATTGACAAGCCAATTCTTATGGCCTGTCATATGATTTGAACATCCTGAGTCCAAATACCAGGTATTCATCTGCACCTCACCAGAAATTGTAGTCATCATTAGGGTAACAGGATCTTCATCAGATTCTTTCCCATTTTCTTGAACTAGATTCGCTTCTACCCCATGTTTTCCATCCACGAACTGATCATTTCGACTGGGTGCTCTACATTCAGTGGAGAAGTGACCTATCTTGTCACAATTGAAGCAGCGGATCTTCTTCCTATCCAGTTTCTTCTTACCTCCTCTAGTCTGATTGTACCCCCCCCCCCCCCCTCTTTGAACTGCCTTCTTTGTCTTGATCATATTGTTGGTAGTCTGATGAGGAATTATTCTTGCCAGAATAACCTCTACCTCTGCCCCTTCCACGGCCACGATGACCTCCTCGACCAGAAGATTTCTTGGAAGTCAAGGCCTGAAGTGCTTGATCCGGAGCTTTATCAGCCTTCCTCTCCAGAATCCTATGCTCATTTGCTTCCAGAGAACCCTTCAATTCTTCCAATTTCAGGGTTTCAAGATCTCTGGATTCTTCTATGGCTACCACAACATGATCAAAACTGGGGGGTAGAGTTCTGAGTACTTTCTCAACCAAATTCTGTTCAGTCATTTTCTCACCACACAACTTCATATCATTACTCACAGAAATAATTCGAGTTACATATTCCTCTACCTTCTCATTACCTTCCATCTTCATCAATTCGTACTGTCTCCTCAATGTCTGAAGTTTAACTTTCTTGAGTTGATCAGCACCTTCATTGCTCCTCTCCAAAATCTGCCAGGCTTCTTTGGAGCTAGTTGCGCTGGCGATTTTCTCAAAATGGGCGTTATCCACACACTGATGGATCAGGAACATTGCTTGACAGTCTTTCTTCTTGTTTGCGCTGTAAGCAGCTTTCTCCGCATCTGTGGAATTCTCGGTCAATACCGGAAATCCTCTTTCCACTATCTCGTGAACGTCCTGGTATCCAAAGAGCACCTTCATTTGGATGGACCAGCGACGCCAATTCTTGCCGTCGAGAATAGGGAGATTAGAAGAGAAATTGTTCATCGCCACCGTCGTTCTTGGATCTCAGGATACGCAGAGTACGCAGAGTTCTTCTCGCTCTGATACCAGTTTGTTAGAGCAGGTAGAAGAATAACAGAAAAACGGATAAGCTGATAATTGGGGAAATAGGCTCACTACAATTTGTACAGCCCGATGCCTTTATTTATAATGTGCAAAATACACTTATTGAATTAATCTTTGGTATTTACATCTTAACAGCAAAACCAATAAGAGTTGTGTAAATCCTAGAAAAATTAAATTTGTAAGGTGTTGTTTTTAGGGGGGAAAATAGAGTTTGTAAATTCTCTTCTACCTATTGTTGAAAGTAATGGAAAGGGTTGGAGCCAGAAACTCAGCTTCGTAGGGACTGGTTTTTGGAAAGCTACTCGGAATTGAAAATTATAATTTAATAAAAAAAATTGGTTCACGATATGTGGTCATGCGAAAGAGTTTTATACAACAAACACTTCAAAATAGTAGCTAAGGTATATAGCGTTTTATATTTAGCATAGTGTCTTCCACCATGTTGCTCAAGAAACTAACGCTTATCTCTCTCGAAGACGTTGGAGGTCATGTACTTGGCCAAGACAACTTAGGACAAGGTCTTACTAATGAGGCGCTTTGTTAATAATGAAGCTCGGAAGTGGACCATCTATTGCGGAATATGCTAGCGAGTCTTAGAGTCTAGTAAATCAATTGTCTTGTGTTGAAATCCCACTTGGCATGGAGACGAAATGCAGTCACTGCTACATCTAAATTCCCTTCATAGTAGATAGCTAGGAAACGTTAGTTGTTTTACACCTACTTAAATTAGGTACTCCCTCCGGTTCTTATTAAAGTTCTCACTTTCCTTTTTGGGATGTCCCTTATTTAAATTCACACTTCCATTTTAGGAAACAAAACAGTGCAAAACAGTGCCAAACAGTGTCCAAACAGTGCCAAACAGTGCACTCCATAGTAAAGTCAAATTCATTTTCTTAATATGTGTGAAGTCAAACTGTGAACTTAAATAAGAACCGGAGGAAGTATGTTTACCAACTTTCGGTGGACCACAACTCCTTCCAATGTGCATCCATGTGTATCCTTATAATTATATACTCTCTATGACCCGCTAACAATGGGACAAGAGGGAGTGACACGCAAATCAATAAAAAAGTGGTTTATGTGGTTGATATTGAATTGATAAAGTAAAAATGATTTAGAGCCTTACAAAATTTACCAAATTTGTTATGAGCCCATCTTAGTAGGACGGACCGATATGGTAAAATGGGACAATCATAGCGGGAAGGAGTATATCTTAACATATTACATCTAACTTGCATATATGCAGGGCATTATGTTCCACAACTTGCTCAGCTCATCATACAATCAAAGGCAAACATTAATCTTAAGGGAATAGCGGTGAGTACATATATTTATCAGCGGAAAAAACAATATAATGTGGTAATTGTTTCATAATGTACTGAGTGAGAGGTGGTTATGTGAATAAATTTCAGATTGGAAACCCTCTTTTGGAGTTCAACACAGATTTCAATGCTGTGGGAGAGTATTGCTGGTCACATGGATTAATATCAGATTCTACATATGGACTTCTCAATAGAGTCTGTAACACATCTACAATGCGAAGGCAATTTGATGATACTGGAAACCTTACCTCTCATTGCAATCAAGTAAATGATCAAGTGAATGCTGAAATTGGAAGCTATATTGATGTTTATGATGTGACCGAAGATGTCTGTATTTTCCCACAATCAACAAAGATTACTACATTGGTATGTACTCCCTCCGTCCCGCTAGAAGGTTCCCGTGAACGGTTTACGATGCTTGACTGATAATAAAGTAACTTAATCCCTGTTCACACTCTGATTATTTTTAGTAAATAAAATTAACATATTCAGAAACTACATTAAAACCGCTGCAAAGCCTGATAAAAAAATGTAAATTTGGTAAAAAATTGATTTATAAAGTAAAAGATTAAAAATGATTTAAGTTGACAATGAGAATAGTGCACGGGAATCTTCTAATGGGACGGAGGGAGTACTATCTAACATACATAAACTTAATATGTCAGAACTCTGCAATAATAACTTACATTACCATCAAGCATAGTGCCACATTCTACTATGAGTGCACTCAACTTAATTAAGGTAAATTCTCTCTTTCCTTTTCGAGTTTTTGGGATATTTTGTTTTTCCTCTCTGAAGGTCAACCACCAAAATCAGTGGGGTAAATGTCGAGATATTTATCGAGATTTTATTAAGGTTTTTGGGATATCTCATAAATAAATTCTGGCTTCCTTTTTGGTGATATTTGAGTGGTAATATATTCTTTTACCCTTATGAAAGTTATGTCATTAATTATCAACTTTTCGCTTTCATACTTTTGAGGAAGGGTATACTAGCTCAAAAGTCCGTAGAAAAAAAAAAATCGCTTGCATGTCCCTTAAATTTTCATCATCCTAGCTAGTAACAAGTAGCAATAAACACTTGCATGTATCAATGTAGGCATGCAACTTTCAGCCTTCAATAAATTTAATTTGTTGATTGATTTTGTTTCAGAAAAAAGACGTATGCATAGAGGAAGAAACCATTGCGTATTTTGGTCGCAAAGATGTGCAAAAATCTTTACATGCACGTCTTCATGGACTGAATGGTTGGTCTACGTGCAGTGAGTATGGGTTGATTGATTGTAAATTCATTCTGGAAATACAGTTTTAAAATTAGAAATTGCTCTAAATAGGAGCAAAAACGTTTTGAAATTCCAAAATAGGAGTTTCATGTTTTTTATTCCCTGAATAGGAGTAATCTGTCAAGTTTGGAAAAAATGTCATGTTTTAAAGCCTAGTAATGCCAAACTTGGCAGAAATTTAATCCTATTCAAGGAATAAAAAATATGATACTCCTATTTTGGAATTTCAAAACCTTTTTACTCCTATTTAAGGAATTCTCTCTTTTAAAATCGAAAAAGTAAAATAAAATTACTTTGAGTTCTACTTGTAGTTAACACAAGAATTCTTCTTTATTTTTTCATCAGTGTCTTAATCTATGACATGCAAAATTTGGAGGTCCCTTCCATTAACATTTTAGGTTCCCTTGTCAAGTCTCGTGTTCGCGTATTGGTTTACAGGTAATGCTTTATTTATACTCCGTAATCATTTTCATTTACTCAGTGCCGCAAAGGCTCACACCTACGGTAGGGTAGGGAGGTCGGATGTACGCAGTCTTACCCTTGTACTAAAGTACAGAGAGACTATTTCTGGATGACCCATAGTGAAAATAGCGTCCAAAATTGCATGGACTGACTGCTGCTCCATAACAAAGAATCACAGACAGTTTAGTGAGCCATTTTGCTTTATTCCATCATAATCTCAAGCCAAAAAATAATGAATCTTTGGCTCCATTGCAAATGATGGAAAACTTTATTTATACTCCGTAATAAACTAGGATAATGCTAACACAAAACTAATAGCAAAATTTCACAGAGCAAAACATACCTAAAAAAAGCCTAAAATGCAAAATAAAAGTTAATGTTTAAAATTTCTTGAATAATAGTAATAATTTATGATTGGACAAAAACGAAAGAAATTTATAATTTAACCACTGCCACCGAAGAGCAACTACCGTCGTTGTCAGTCACTACCTAAACCCTAACCCTAAACTCTAACCCGTAAACACTAAATTCTGGCGTATTTTTTCCGTAAGCACTATTCTGCTCCTGTTTAGGGAAATTAAAAAATGAATTCCTATTTTTGCACTTTCCCTTATGCTCCTTAGAAACACGTATATTTTTAACAATTCTGTAATATCTCCAGTAAAAAAAATCTCTAACATCAATAAAATTATAAGAGATTATTCTAAAAGGGACCATCTATGGACCATCTCATATTTAGGTTCATCAATTGATTAACTCTCCACATTATAAATTTGCAAGTGGATGGCAACCTTGCATATGTCTGTATATGAATATGATATGCTTTAATTTTTATTTAATGTAACAGTGGAGATCAAGATTCAGTTATCCCATTCACGGGAACTCGGAAATTGGTTTATAAATTGGCAAAGTCTATTGGATTGAACACATCTATGCCATACCACCCTTGGTTTGAGGGAGAACAGGTAGGTTAGAAAGATCAAGTTTTTATTAGTAGATTACATAGTAATTAATTTTTCAATTTTTTCTTTGCACAGTAACATGCAAGAGAATGTATGACAAGGTGTGAAACATACAGGAATTTGTGTAGTATTTCCCATTTGTTTCCCTTAATTGCCTGCATGTTTTGCATTCAGGTTGGTGGATGGACACAAAGGTATGGAGAGTTGCTTTCCTTTGCAACAATAAGAGGTGCTGGTCATGAAGCTCCATTTTCACAGCCTGAGAGGTCACTTGTCTTGTTTCAATCATTTCTCGCTGGAACACCATTTCCTGTTCTCAACACAAGTAGTGGAAGAGCATTGCAAATTAGAAGCACATCAACAAGATTCACTGGAAAACTAAATGATTTGCATTAAAGTATATACTACGTATGATCTTTCATTGTTGTTAGAAAAAAATCTATTTAATACTTTTATTGGAAGTTTATCCGATACTTTTATTATCATGAACCACTGGTTTCATTTTACATTTTAGTTGGATGAGTAGTCTTAATGAATGAAAAGCTAGGACACTGAGGAAAATGTGAAAAGGTTGGATAGAGTTTGGAAATGTGACATAATTATTGTTATAATTTAGAAATTATATTAACTTAGCCCGTAATAGTTAATAGGTCCATAGAAAGTCAAGTTATTGGATTAGATCTTATATGAGAAATAATCAAAGTAGGTAGCTCATATTAGTGTTAAAATTGGTAGATAAAGATCTAGATTACTCTTTAATTAGTTAGTAGATGTTGTAAACAGCTATAGATCAGAGTATTTCTAGATAGAAGATCATGCAAGATGATGAAATGCATGAGATGTAAGAGGTACTAGAATGGACCTTTGAGACCTATAGGTAGGGTACTCATCCATTTCTAACCCAAGTTAAAAACTCAAAATCAATGAGAGTTATGAGTTCTCTCAAGAGTCAATTCTAAGATACTTAACCTTCATTTCTCCTAACTAAGTGGTACAAGATCCACCAACTCTTTCAAGGAATGTGAATGCCAACAACTTAGTTCCCTTTCAAATCTCTCTCCTCACCAAATAAAACTACTCTTGTTAGTGCATTCACATGAAAGTCTTACTATGATCTCAAAATGCATGGGAGATGGTTGAGAAAGGTTTTTAGGAACATCAATACGAGACTATATATATTAGTTAATCAATCTCAAAGGGGTAGTCTCAATGTAGTAAAAAGAAGGACCAACAAACTCTCGTCGCTCTCATCTACCAATTCTTAGACAAGTATAGTGCTTTGTTTGTATAACATATTTGTGTTGAGTCCATAATGGTTTATGTTTAACGTCGTGGATTGTATATCCAGAGCTCACTACATACAGTCGCTGGCATATCATTAAAGTTTGCTGCTTTCGAGTTTTATGTTGTTCTCTCTCTCTCTCTAGCTTGGATGGTGAAGGAAACAAAAAGATCGATGGGTGAAGAAAGGAAATGGTTGAGCTTGTGGTTTAATCTTCAAGGTAAAAGGAAAATTCATTTTTTTACTCCTAAAATAAGAGGTCAGGTATCATGTGGTCTAATGGCATCAATATGATTCTCTCAAAGAGAATGTCATGTGTTAGAAGTACATTCAAAAAAGTTAGAAGAACGAAGATGCACTCTTATGTTTTTTATACTAGGTCCTTACTCGGAAGACACAACACCTTGATCATAAATTTGATACCAAGTTGCCACCAAGTCCCTTTGGCCTCTCTTTTTCACTAGGGATAGACCCCCTCGATTCTACTTCTAGAGCTCAAATGGAAGTTATGGACCAGAGCTAGTCGATTATGGTCAAGTTCAGTGTTCGGGAACTGAAATAATATCAAAGTAAGACCTTTTCCATCATACCTACATGGACAACACATCTAGAGACTATCTAGGGACTAGAGTTTGGCATCGGAGACTATCTATGAAACCATTGGGATAAACAAAAGTGTGTGAGACTTCATTCATAATTAGTAGTGTTTTGTTGTATCTATAGCTTTCGTGGAGTATGTAGGTTGCACTTTTTTAGTATATGATTGATTAAACACTCTTTTATAAACATGGTTCCTGATGTTGTCAGGTTACGTTAGTCCGTGTATCTCAAGAACCCATCACCAAACTCACGATAGATTTAGAAAGTTGAGTTATTCTACTTATTCTTCATGTTTCATAATTTTTTATCTGGATCTGATCACAAAGAGTTGCACACTTGCACATAACCGTGGGCGGATCTAGGGGACGGCGACCTAGGCCTTGGCCGACCCCAAATTCAAAATAATGCCTTAATTTTAAAGGTAAAAAAATTTAATGTAAAAAATGTTCTAAAAGTATTCTTTGTACCGGCTCAGTACCTTAGCTCTGCCCTTGCAAATAACCGATCAAGCGCTTTTCAATTCCAAACACAGCCTCCGAAGGAACCACTACTATTTCATTAACACTCCAAAATCTACATGAAGTTCAAACACCCAAACTACAATTTGATACGAGACTAAGCCGTGATTACTAAACTAAGCTTCGAAAGAACTAGAGGGTCATCCTTTGGTGCACGGAGAAAAAATAATATACACTCCCATCTTGAACTCAAGGCCTCCTATGAAGTGAGGAATGTAAGCGAGAGAGTTAGTGCCATAAGCGAGTCATATGGGGTATCGTGACACAATCTTTACCGTGCCACAATACCCCATATGACTATAAGGGAATCATATGGGAATTCATAAATCTACTCATAAATCTACTCATGTGTTCTGGGTACCGCCACCACATGTCTTAGTTCATCAATCATGATTGATATATAAAGATTGCTAGGTCCTTGCACATTGAACCCATACTTTTGCCTTACCAATTGTTAAAAACAGCAATAGCAAAAGCTTAACGAATAAAAAGGAAAATAGAGTAGACGTTTTCCTACTGAAATGATTTAGACATGCGATAAATCATGAATAAGGATGTCTTTACTTTGACTGTAATTCATCCCAGACCAGACCAGAGTCACCAGACCAGACTTATATAGTTATAAAAATACAAAGAAACCAGACCAGACCAGACCAGCAAATTACAGTCCAAGTAAAAACATCCTAACATGCCTTTATCTCGAACGTTTGAAATTTAGTCAACTTGAAGTGTAGATTTATTTTGAATTTTTGAGATATGGCAAGATTTCTTTTTACAAATTAAGTACATAAGGTTTACATAAATATGAGTTCCTCTGCTTCCTCATGAGACTCTAAGACTTGAGGAATTTTTTTATGAGTTTATGCATAATCGTACATGTCAGCTTGTTTTTAACATTGACCAGGTAGTCCGTCATAGAGCTCAACTGGTCGGTGTGTTGAATCAGAGATCGAAATCTGTATGTAACAAGAAACAACCAAGAATATCTCATCCAAATTTGGTGTACTCATGAAAAAATGGGGGAGAAGCGTTTCTTGGGAAGAACAAAATTGATATCTCAGGATCACAATCAGTTCAAACTGAAATTGAGCACCATCACGGTGGCATTGCAAAAACAGATCTATGGAGGGTCTAGTTCACAGAAAATAGTGGACTGTGCCCTCCAGGAACCAGGCCATTGATAGTCTCCATTCCAAAACTAAAGACATTGCTTCCACAGCAAGACCACTAACCATTAAATAGTGGTAACCGGATAATGAGCAGGAATAAATATAGTTGTTCCACAGGAGAATACTACATGCGTTGGAGTTCAAGACAAGTCATGCACTTCATTTGCCCCTTCTTTCGATCTGTGCTTTCTCTTCTTACTTCTGCATTTTTATAATGGCATAACTATTTCTGGGGGACTTGATTGTGTTTTGAATAGGGGGGGAAGATGTAGAGTTAATGGTAACATACTTGTCATGCAAACCAGGATCCAGGCATGATTTTAATTTCCGATCGATGTGCTTCACATCTTTGGCAGAAGGGAACTCGAGTTTATTTATCTGTGGGTTGAAATCTCAATCAAGTAAACCCCCCAAACTTATTCTTTAAATCAGGTCTGACTGAACTCAAATCACAAATAGATTATAACATGAAGAATTGTACAGTTACCATAAAATCAATAGCATTTAAAAGGCCACTGATATCCAAAATGGCATTAGTTGCTTGCTGGTGTGATAGAACACTTTCCAGGTATCTGCACAAGGTGCAATTTATGACACAGATCAAGAAATGGAAAAAGAGCGAACAGAAACATGAGTTGAATTGAATGTAAATAAGCACAGAATTCAGACCTCTCAAAATCAAGAGCACCGTGAATTGCATTAGCTCTACGAAGAGCTGCCAGTGCCAACTGCCAAAAAGAAGTAAAAGTTACGAGAGCACTGGCGATACGTACAACAATAACTACAAAGCCTTACGCGTAATAATGTGTAAAGGGATTTAACCATTATTGCTTTGTTGAAATTTTAAATTGCACAATGCACATGCTTTCGGTTGCATTACATGACATCACATATCACCAAACTAAACCTTAATATATTTTGTCAAAAGTATAACCCAATTGAATATGTGTTGCATAATGACTAATGAGTAGTTGAGTACAGTAGAGAAGTTCCTCTAAAATGATTGAGTTTTATTATATTTCCAACTTTAATTTCTCTGCACATCTTCAGCAAAATATTCCCTCTCACTATCTTTGTCTCAACTTTCCTTTCTGTTCAACCCAGTAAGTTTGTTTCATATTATATTTGGTAATATTTGTGCAGCTCAAACTTTACAAATTCAATAAACACATAATCCAACCTTTTCGTTATATATATATATATATATATATATATATATGTGTGTGTGTGTGTGTGTGTGTGTCACTCTCTCACATCCCAAACATAGTTGGACAGAGGTACAAAGGTAGTACCACTAATTGGATGTAAGAAAATTTGAAATTAAAACTGTTTTAATTAACTTTGGGAGACCAACTTATGAGTGCAAAGCTGATAGGTTAACCTCGTCAGCAAGGCTGATTAGTATCCCAAAACTAATGCTTGCCCTAATCTCAAAGAGAGCCCTTACTTATTGTATAACGCCTTAAAATAAAATACCTTCTAAAAGAAGATCGAACAATGCACCTATTAGATCAATTGAGAGGTGGGGAGAGGAGGGAGGAGATGGAGGGGACAACCTTGACATACGTGTATTAGAGTGGTAAGGAATGGCATGGTACTTTTTGGGTTAAATGAGTGTATGATTTGGAGAGAGCAAAGTGAAGGAAAAGTGGATACGTGTGGAGGATTGATCTTTTTTGTGTATCTCCCTTTTTCTCCATTTATTGTTTTTAATTCCGATGTCATATGCCAATTCATGTTAGCCGACCCCAAACTCTTTTGGGACTAAGGCTTGGATGTTGTTTGATGTTGTTATATTGGCTCCCAGGACTTCCCTTCTATTTTGGTCGCTATGACATTACAAAGGAAAGCAAGTAAAAAATACAATGAACTAAAACACCTGATGAAATTCAACGGAATAGCGTCAATATGTAATGGAAATAAGAAAAAATTATCATCAATAAAGCACAGCTATTAACCTTTGGTCTCAAATTGAATCAAGTAATAAAGGTGACAAGGGTATGCAATGGGAAAGATGTAAAGGATAAATTCAGGATCAAAATGAAGAAGGAATACCTGCCCTGGTGGAAACAAAAGGGTTGCATCTGTAAGCATGATCTTGTCAGCTTCTACTTTGGCACTTTGAAACAAATTCTGCAGCATAAAGGGAAGATAACATGCAATCATGATAACATTTCTAAAAGCTTAAAATAATACCAAGCTCTCTAAAATGAACAGGGTATTCTTTACATAGGAAACACTCCATTATCACCGGACAGACTCAAAATGTGGTAGCATCTCTACTCTATCCACATGAATTCATTCATTTCAAAAATTGCAGGTTTTACATAGAACTTCAACTCAAGAAAAAGGCACCTATATGCAACTCAAAAACAATCAAACTTGAGAGAGAGCTCATTTTATGTGAAAACTCACTCCATAAGCGTAGCAAACAGTAGAAATGCAAAATATTAGTAGGCTAAAATGAATTAAAGCTTATTTGCTCTAGCTCTTTTAATAAAGGTTTAATATGGTTTTAGTCCCTGCAAATATGGCACACTTTGTTCCAAAATATTTTGCAGGGACCTAAAACAAAGTGTGCTATATTTTCAGGGACTAAAAACATATTTAAACCTTTTATAAAACATCACTGAGTGGGGAAAAAAGTGGAAGAAAGAAAGATGCAATGCACAACCATAACGTACATGGATGGGATGATAGCAGTCAAAGAACACAAATCTGATCATGGTTACAATAAAAAGTTTAGTGTGTTAAGAATAAGTACCTTTAATGTATCGTGATTTTCAACATTAACTCCACAGAACTCCTAAAATGCGAACACCAACCAGCTCGGCGCATTAGCAGTTTTGCATATTTACAACAAAGAAGCAATCAATTTAAGGAGAATGTATCGGCATAGAACCTCTATATCATTCAAAAAACCTTCAACTGCGCGATATGGAGCAAAAACAATGAGATTGAAATCTAAGCTCTGCAAAATCAGGTAAAAAGTACATAAAACAAAACAATAGAATAAGAAAAAAAGCAAAAAAAAAAAGATGAAAAGGATGAATGTAAATGGAAACCATGCCTGAAGAACAAGCATTTCATTATTGAGGATAACATGATGATCCTGCTCAATCCCCTTACCAAGCTCCTCGGCCGATACATGATTCTCTTCTGCTTTGCATGCAGTGTATATGCAGGTTAACCTGTAAATTCACAAGTATAAGGAAGGCCCCTGTCACAAGGTCTTTCGAATGTACTATCAAGGTTGTCATGGCAGCTACGCAAGGCGTGGCATTAGGTGACTAGGTGATGATTAGCAGAATGCGGTATTTGAATATAATATATTCAAAATACTACAGCTATTTTACAAAATACTCCGTATAATATATGAACAGCTGTTTTATGAAATAAATTCAAAACAAGAGTTTAATATCTACTTAAAATAATTCGTCAGCGTCAGCATCATAGTCATCATTACCCCAGTGCCGCAAAGGCTCGCACACCTTCGGTGGGGTAGGGGGGTCAGATGTACGCAGTCTTACCCCTGTACTAAAGCAGGGAGAGACTGTTTCGGATGACCCTTGGTGAAAACTGCATGGACTGACTGGTGCTTCATAACAAAGAAGCGATGAGAGTCATGTGAGTGCTGTCCAAACAATGAAAAGAATCATGAAAAATATAACGATAAATAAAGAAATGAAAATTAAGAAAGAAGAAAAGATGGAAAAGATGAAAACAGGAGAGAGAAATAAGAAAAAGAAAAAAGTGCAAACTTTGGCGAACAGCGACGAGCACTAGTGTTATATTTGGGTTTTTAGTTCTTTTTTTACTGCATTGGGCTTTTCCTTTCTCAATGTCTGAGGCAGCTATTTACATTAGGAGTAACAAGCTGTGTTACTGGGTCGAAATTGATTTGGTGAAAATTGGTTCTCGATATCACCAAGAATGCCTAGTCAATGACTGGGTGTCACTAGTCAATGCCCAACACTCTTCCCACAAGGTGACACCATGCCAACGACGGTATATTGTTATTTCTACGTTAAACCAATTTCAGAAGAAATAAGAAATTGAAAGTTTCAGCCTTGTAAGGAAGTTTAGACTTTAGACAAGGTACAAGGAATTCATATAATATTGAGGAAGAGGATACAGCACAAAGCAATCTTACATGATGTTTTTCGGGTGATGTTCCATGACAGACCACTGCAGATAAAACCTTTTAAAGTAAATGAGAGCTGTAGCCTGTAAAACACATGAAAATAAGAGAATTTTTTTGCATTTACTTTTTATCCACTAAAGCTTGTAGTTTCAGAGCCAAAAGTTCATACCTGAATTTTGCATGGAAATTTAAATGCATCGCATACATCTTGAATTTTGAATTCATAAAAGGCTCTCAAAAGTTGTTCCTCTTCAATTTTAAGGGGTTTTGGGCGCTTCTCACCTAATGTTTGAACGAAAAAGGTTTCAAAAGAACAATAAAGATATTATATTATCTTAGGTTAGTCAATAGATAGGAACTATATACAAAGATTATAATACATAGATAGTCTTTGTCGCATACAACCTTACCAGTACACTTTGCATCAGTGAGAGGTTCCACGTATGAGAAAGACCCATCAACGTCGACTTCCATTCGAGTTGTTCCATACTTCAAAAAGATTAGCAGTCTTATTATCACTATTTACCATATTGGCATATTTTAGTGGAAACTTTAATACGATTTAAAACTTAACATATCATACACAACATAGCCCCACAACATAAATGAGACAAAGCATACAAATACACCTACACATCTTCATAAATAATGCTCAGCACATATAAAAATCACACTATAAATCCATACTACACTTCAGTTCATTTACTAGATTTAGTTGTCCGGTGTTCATGACGCATAAACTTGTCAATGATGCATGCACTGTGATAGATAAAAGAAACAAGTCATTATATCAGTTGTTCACATGTAGCTTATCCACTGTATCTAATGTTGCATTCTAGCCAAATACATCAATGTCACATTTATTTGCCACTACCCACAGACAGCGATCAGAAGCCTGCCCCCCCTCTGACCCACTCAAGAAAGCATGCATACCCAAACATCAAAAGCATTCCTATTGTTTTCAAGTTAAAAAAAAAAGCTTGATAGATGTTAATGACTTATCCCGGTCTATCAAACATATGCATGCATCTCATCTAACATGTTTCTGCAGGTAGAGCAGTGGACAACAATTTTATGCTTTAAATACTCATCCCTTGAAATCCTTTCAAAAAATGCCTAAAACTATGATAATTTTTAGTTGATATTGAGATAAGTCTAATTCACGTATCTATAAAAACTCATTCTCATATAACATTCTATAAGGAGTATCGACTCTATATGAATCTCCCCCCTCCTCCTGGATCTTGGAATGAATTTTCTGGTGACGGAAAAAGCCAAAAGATGTTCATGCCTTTAAGGGATGATTCTGAGGGATTCGAAGAGTACTGGTACGCCTTGTAGCTTCTAAGGAAATACTCTGTTCGGTTCGAATGGAGGACCTTTTTGTTCATATTTTTCTTCTTCAATCTTCATTAATATGTTTCTTATTCTACAAGGCTACAAACCTTTTGGGACATCAATAACGGGCATGTTCATGACGAACATATAAACAGAAATGTGTACATCACTACATTACATGTAATGCCCAATTTGCTCTGTTTATAGTTGAATCTATTTTAGGAAGAATATATTGATGGTCCTATCTGAGGAATTTAGCTATCTTTAACTCCTATTTTAGGATTTTCTAAATGATGCATATCATGAAAAAGTTAATATTCTGGTAAAAACAATAAAAATTCATACTTTTATACAACAACAACATCCAAGCCTTAGTCCCAAAATCATACTTTTATACAACATGTACAAAATTACATAAAGGTGAAAGCTTTATGCTTAACAAAAGGGGCAAAAAAAAAGTAATTGTATACCTTCTCCAATGCCTGTTTAGCTCTGTGATTGGCAGCCTTGTACTTATCCTTCTACAAAATGTAAGAACATAATACGCATAGTGTGTTCACATATTACTACCAAATATAATAGGAGACACACCAAATGCTAAAACTTCGAAAAATCTATAGTGCTGGACAATATGAAAACGGTGAGAAAAGATACATACAAGATCCTGTGGAGAGAAAATCCACTTGGCTCTGTGAGTTGAGGTTATGAAATCTGCCATTGTTCTCCCCTCCGTTAATCCACCAACACCCACAAAATCGAAAGTGATTGCCACCAAAATGACGTGCGATAACTATACAATCTAGGAGTTTATTAAAAGACTAGGTTAAAACGCATATATTTTGAAGTCTTCTTAGAAGTCAAAATAAGTAATTGGTAAATAGAAATTGCCCTAAATAGAAGTAGAAATTGCCCTAGTAATGCCAAACTTGTCATAAATTTACTCCTATTTAGGGAATAAAAAACATTATAGTCCTATTTTGGAATTTCAAAACATTTTTACTCCTATTTAGGGAATTTACCCATTGTTAAATAATGAGTTGGAAAAACTAAATTAAGTAGATGTTTCTTTAGCTATATATGTTTTCACTTTTCATTTTCAAAAGAGCTGACCTCAAATCCTCAATAACCTTAAGACCCAGTTCAGGGCAGTCACAAATTTAGGAAACGGATAAACTGGATTTTTCGCTTTACCAGAATAATATGAAAATTAAATATGTATCAATTTAATAAAAAATAGTGAGAAGTGTTTGTTTATTTACCTGGCTGAAGTTGGAATGTATTGCGGCGCTACGGACGTGTGGCGGTGCCCTGATCGGTGAGTGCACGGCGGAGTGAGGTAGCTGGTGGCTGCGGCGGTGCGTTGGCCAGCGGTGCAGGAACGCGCAGTGGGCCAGTCGACCGCGATGAAGAACAACACCGGGCAGGGAGCAGACTAGTCCTTCGCTGGGCCGATTCAAAATGGGATGAGATCAGTGACGTAGTAATGTTCCATTTCTCTGGATGGAAAGTTATCCTACATCAAAACATGTTGAAACAGTGCAAACAGTGTCGAAACAGTGTCAAACAGTGTTGAAACAGTGTCAAAACAGTAAAATTTACCCCCTGATAAATTTATTTCCTTAATATGTGTGTAGATCAAATCGGGAACATTCCAACGGGACGGAGGGAGTATTTGGTAATATTTGGGTGTTTACCATTCACTTACTTTATTCACACTTTATCAATTTAATATCCTCTAACTTTGTCTCATTTTACTTTTTTCGTCTGTCCCATTAAGTTTGTCTCATACCATATTTTGTAATATTTGGGTGTTTACCATTCATTCTTACTTTATTCACACTTTATCAATTTAATATCAACCATACATTTCTACATTTTCTTAAAACTTCCACCACACCCCTTTGTTCCAAACATAGAGGGAGGGAGGTAGTATTTTTTTTTCCAAGAAAACCGGTCACTTTATTAAATCAAAGCATCCTTTGATGCATGACTTACAACATAATCGGGTGGAAAAGTATAGCTACCGCTAAGATTTGAGATGTCAACATGAGCTCTAGTTATAGCATGAGTCGCACGATTCGCAGACCGATTACTAAAAGAGACAACATAATTCCTCTTTGTTTGAAGTAAAAAACGAATATGATCAATTAACAGATCCGCAGTGCCGGTCCTGACATTTTGGAGACCCGGGACATATTACAATAAGGGGCCCTCAAAACTATAAAGCTGAAAACAAATTTTACGTATGTTGGGGAATACATAAAGTGCAATACATAAAGCAAGTACTTCATACAAAAAAAATACAAAAACTTTTTCTCAATAACTGAATTTGAATTAATAAATCAATAATCACACAGCTCACGATTAATCAAAAGTAGAACCAAAAACCCATGTAACGGCAATTCCAAAAGCACAATAAAAATTCCCATTTTATTATAAAATAATCAACAAATCAGGAATTCAATATGTCCCTTTCAAATCTTAAATAAATCAACATTAGAGTTAAAGTATGTAAATCATCTCCACAATCACGAGTCTGCAAATTTGCAATTCGTAATTCCCTTCACAGATTTCGTATGAAGATATCGAGACAGAAGATTAAGAATTAGCCGATAAGCTTGAGTGTCTATATTGAGAGAAAGTCAGGGGAGCAATGAATTTCAGAGTAAAGATTGCAAAAAAAAACTAAATCAGAACTATATAAAAGGAAAAAAATATATCATCGTTTCACTTGAAGTCCGAGCGATGGCCAATCAACAGCCGATGGTGTTTCAGAGTCCAAGATTATTGAGATTATATTTCCAAATCCAAAATCCCAATTAGCAACTTAGCAAGATGAACGACTGAAAATAAGGAAAATTGAAGATTCGAAGTGTAACACCGCCCCCGAGTATTTGTACTGTACCAAATTATGTATTGAACCTTGAGAAATGTATAAAAGCATTTTTACGTGATTGTAAATTTTTATCATTCTATTACGTGAATAGTAAAATTCATGTGGGGCCCATACCGGATGTGGGGCCGCCCGATATTATCGGGACCACATATTATATTAATATTGGACTAGATAATATGTATATGGTGGTAGATATCCTAATCGGGCCATGACAATGGCATAGAGTTGACCGGTTGGTCAAACGGGGCCAAATTATCGGCATCGGCAATTTATCAGATAACAGCCCAAAAAAAAGGGATTCCGGAGACTTATAAATTAAAGTTGGGGAATACATATTGATTCTAAGGTCAATAAGGATTGGGAACAAGTGTTATATTTTATTTGACCCGATAAAATAAAATATACTTAAAACAGTCCGGAAAATACAACTTTCGGGACTGATTGTACACTCCGGGACACAAAGGGTTGACCTCCCACATCAGTGGGGTGCAACCCACGCTCTTAAGCTGGTAAATGTATAGGGGAGCCGCACCTTTAGGAAGCTGGAAGGGAGTGAGAAGGGGGGTGGAGACAAGGTGTGAAAGAAAGGGGGTCCCTCCCTCATATCATTGATGAATGATCCAAAAATGACACTCTCAACCACCCCAGCCCATACACTTCGTCCCAACCATCATTTTGGAGGAGAGAAGCTCTGCAAAAACTCCATTTTCATCCATCATACGAGCACCAAGTTGAGGGAGGGAGAAGAAAGGAAAAAAGAGAAGAGAAAAGAGGAGTTTAGGTGGGAAAACTTGTGTTTAACAAGGTAATGACTCCATAAACCCCATTTCTTGTTCTTCAATCATTTCATACGATTATACAATCATATTCCACACCCTAGGATTGTTCTACACGTTTGGAAGTGTAGAATGAGGGGTTAAAAGGTGGTTCTAAGTCCAAGAACGGACTTAGAAGCCAAAGTAACCGATTCGCCGAAAAATAACCTTTTGGAGGTTATTTGTATTACTATGGGTTTTATGATGATAAAACCTTGTTAGTAACTTGTCTAAGGTATTCGAGGAACTTTCACGGAATTGAAAGGGGCGCCGGAGCTGTCGCCGGAGTTCGTTGAAGTTCGCCGGAGTTTCGTCGGAGCTAAATCGGGAAGGCTAGAACTACATAAGCTTCATCAAGGTGAGAAGACGTCTTTATGCTTTATAACTTTTGCGTGAGGCATGAGATTACCTAAATTAATCAAGGATATGTTTTATGAAATGAGTAAAGATAACCAAGTGTTTGCTTATGCCATGATTATACATAAAACATAGTTGAAAAGCATGTTATGTAGGTTTGGTGGTTAAAAGTGTGATAACTTATTATGTGTGATGTTCCAGGGATCCAAAATGGTATTTTTGGATCAAGGACGTAAGGATTATATGTGTATAAAATTTCACGTTAATCGGACTCCGGTTGGGTGGTCAAACGGGCGTTGACCGACAAGTCAACTGTCATACCCGACCGGGTATTGACACATACCCGACCGGGTATTTGTTGAAAATTAACTTTGTGGACTACTGTCTCCTGTACTCGACCGAGTATGGGTTGATACTCGATCGAGTATTGGGTTATGCTCAAAACGGGCAGTTTTGAGCGGGTTTAAGTGGGGCGTTCAGGATGGACCCACCCACGTTGGTTCCTAAGGTTGGTTATATGACTATAGGGCTAGGTATTGTCCATAGTTGAAGGAACGAAAGGTTAGCCATATCCAGGTTAGGGTTTGGTAAGGATTTAGTTTGGGGTTGAGTATCCCCGGAACATTAAATGATCCTGAAACTCAGTTGGGGTTGAGCATCCCCGGGACTATAAATGATCCTGAAACTCGGTTGGGGTTGAGTATCCCCGGGACTGCAAATGATCCTGAAACTCGGTTGGGGTTGAGTATCCCCGGGACGGTAAATGATCCTGAAACTCGGTTGGGGTTGAGTATCCCCGGAATGCTAAATGCTCCCAAAACTCGGTAGGATATTATGAATGTAGAATGTAGCTGGTGAGCTAGGCATTCGGGAAAAGGATGAGAAAGGTCAGGTAAGAACTTTATCTCTAAAAGACTCTTTGAATGAAATGACCTACGGGTCAAGTATTTTACAAATATATATATACAGTATGTATCATCGGATGAATGAGTCACATATATATATATATATATATCACCCTATTTTTGGGTCTCGTGTCTGAAACATTAGTTATTCTTCATATAGCCTGCTTGTCACTAATACTTCTATGGAGTACTGACCCCTCCGGGGCCCTCACATTTTTCAGGTTGAGGCTAGAGTCCTACTACCTGCACCTTTGCCTAGGGTGACCCTTCGAGGAGGAAGACGTGGTTCGTGCTTCCATTCGTATTTTTTTTGAAATCTATAAACTGCTCATGGATTTTGAACAATGTTTTCATTAAAAGGGTTGGGGGCCTGCGCGTCCGTGTTTTGCCACGTGTGGCTAAGTATCAAATATATTATTATTTCCGCATTTGTTTGATTATGATATTGATGTTGATTATATGTGTTTACTAATCGGTTTGGCAATAGAATAAATCGGACGCCTTGTACAATTCAATAGGGATGAACTGTTGTTGTTCTTATCGGATTGTACGGCGGTTGTCTACGTGGCTCGGATGGGGTCCGGGGCATGACACGAAGAGATGCCATTATGCCAACGCTTCATCTTTTCAATGCCGGACCACAAATAGAATTAGACGTAATATTTGCTTAGACGGGTAGTGCTCAGTGCTTACTGTCACACCCCGGACCGCATCCGAGCCACGTAGACAACCGACGTACAACCCGATAAGAACAACAACAATTCATCCCTATTGAATTGTACAAGGCGTCCGATTGATTCTATTGCCAAACCGATTAGTAAACACATACAATCAACATCAATATCATAATCAAACAAATGCGGAAATAATAATATGTTTGATACTTAGCCACACGTGGCAAAGACGGGCACGCAGGCCCCCAACTGTTTTAATGAAAACATTGTTCAAAAATCCATGAGCAGTTTATAGATTTCAACAATACGAATGGAAGCACGAACCACGTCTTCCTCCTCAAAGGATCACCCTAGGCAAAGGTGCAGGTAGTAGGACTCTAGCCTCAACCTGAAAAATGTGAGGGCCCCCGGAGGGGTCAGTACTCCATAGAAGTACTAGTGACAAGCAGGCTATATGAAGAATAACTAATGTTTCAGACACGAGATCCAAAAATAGGGTGATACATATATATATGTGACTCATTCATCCGATGATACATACTGTGTGTGTATATATATATATATATATATATATATATATATATATATATATATATATATATATATATATATATATATATATATATATATATATATATATATATATATATATATGTAAAATACTCGACCCGTAGGTCATTTTATTCAAAGAGTCTTTTAGAGATAAAGTTCTTACCTGACCTTTCTCACCCTTTTCCCGAATGCCTAGCTCACCAGCTACATTCTACATTCATAATATTCTACCGAGTTTTGGGAGCATTTCGCATCCTGGGGATACTCAACC